GTTACTATTTATTTAGTAACTACAAGTTTAATTATCGCTTTATATTCTTTTTGGTTCTGGAATTCATTAATAAGAACATTTCCAGAACATTTTATATATTAAACGGAATTTAACTTTAAATTTTCGAGTTTCTTCGAATTAAAGAAGAAACAAATATCTTCATATTTGATGAGAAAAACTTCCTCAATAAATATGAATGGAAAGATTGCGATTTGGATTCCAGTACAATGAAACAAATTTATTTCTCTTTTCTCGTACCCTTCAATATGGAATTGTTGGAAAAAGTACTTTTTCACCAACAAAATTGATATAAATATTGTCAGACTCTTCTTCGAGGATGAAGAATTAGATCTTTGGAAATTGTAAAGATTTTCTGAAGAAATTCACAAGAATAACAATGGTTAAACGAATTGAACATTTGGTTCTAGCTTCTTATTGAAGCTGACAAATTTGATACAATTTGTCTTCAAAATCGGTGAAGAAACGTCGATAAATTGAATTCTTGAAAAATATCTCTTCGTTGAGAATTTGTTGAAGGGTAAATTAATTAGTTTCTGTCAAATTACTGGAGAAGATTTTATCATTCCCATCATCAATCACATGAAATTAAATAATGGAGTTTTACAAAAATTGCAACTATTGAAGATATAAAATATTTGAGAAAAGCAATTGATTGAGGACAAATTTGATATATTAAATAAATATCGAAGAAAAGAAAGCCTGAGGATGAACTTGATTTTGAATTCAAACAAATAACTTTTTAAACAATTAGAAATCAATTTTTTTTTAAAATTCGAGTTCTATCTTAAATTTTATAATCTTGAAGAAGGAATCTCAATTTTTTTTCTACTTCTAAATAATTTGTATTAATGTAGAAATTGTTCGAGATTTACATTCTGGAAATATCTTGCAAGAGCAGATTGTTCTACAAAACTTCCATTTGAATATAGTTTTATTTAGTTTATAGTTTATTTTGTTAAAGAAATTTTCATTGTCTTCTTCAACCAACAAGCCAAAAGTCAGTTTAGTAATTGTTTAAAATAAAAGTTATTTATTATTAATTTGAATAAAAATAAATTTATTGTATTATATATTAAAATTAAAAATAAATTTTATTAATAAACATAAAAAAACAAAAAAACTATTTTTTTTCGTTAAATTATAAAATCAATTATCCTCTAATTTGATAATTATATTAAGAGCTTTGTTAATACGTTTTTCTAATTCATATTGTTTAAGACTACTAGGTTTCATATAATTATGAATAGCATATCTTTTTTGTTCAGAAATTAATGCATAAATTTTTTTTTCATTATAATAAACTTCATATTTTTTAGGGTAGTTAAGTAGAAAATAATGAGTTCTTCGAAAAGGATTTTTAATTCGGGTTGTTCTGTTTTTATTTATTTCTATGATTTTAATACCTTCAGGAATATCGCATTCTGTAATCGGATCATTATCAAGAAAATAAAGAATTGCTTGATTGTCATCTTTTTGTTCGACTTTAATCAAAAATGTAACATGATCAAATCCTTGAACATTTCTATTTTTCTCTTCACAAATAAAACTTAAAACACCAGCATACGACATATTTCTAAAAAAAAAAAAATAATAAATATTTTTTTTTTTTTTATTAATAAAAAACCAAATTAATTACATACTCATTTAAGAAAGAAAGAAAACGTTGAGAAAATTCTAACGAATCCATTTTTATTCTGATTATTTTTTATGCAGATTTTTTTTATGTTAGTAAAGTAAAAAATCGATATTTTTATAGTTTATTGATCTTAGTTCCAAATCAGAATTTTACAGATTTGGACTGATAAGCTTTTAAAGGAAAAATTAAAAAAATCGGAGATATAATCCGATTGAAAAAGATATAAATTAGATTAACTGCAATAATATGCATGTAATTTTAAAATGGATTTTGTATATGAAACAAAGGAATCTATTTTTAGCAAACTAATCAACAAAAAAACCTTAAAACAAAAACATAAATTGAAGAAGAATAGAAAACTTGTAAAGTACAAAGAACTTTACGATAAGTACAAAAAACTTTATTTAAAAGAGAAGAAACAAAATGAAGAATATGTTTCTCTCTTGAATGATGTTCGTGACTATTT